GCATAGAACATAGCATTAACGACTGTAAAGTAGTAACAGCCGTAATTCATGTGGGTCAGGTCAGTTTGCGATAAAGTTGAAAACAAAAACGGAAGTCAGTGGGCTAGGCTGAGTTTGCGTGAATGGGCGGGGCTGACTCTGGTGCAGCTCCGCCTTTGTAGTTCTGCAGCGAGCACCCTCTCAGATTTATTGATTTTTTTTTTATTTATTTATTTTTTTTTGCGTCGTTTCCCAAAGAAGCAGCGGGAACTACTATGTTGCTTGTGATCACAGCCGGCAGGCAGCAAGGAGGAGGAGGCAGGGCAGGGTGGTTACAGCTATGAGCGTACGGATAAAGCATTTTTGACGAATACGAGCATGAAACGAGTAAAACTCGTAAATATCTGTAATCGTGCTGAAGGAAAATCCTCATTGGGTAATTGACTGTCTCTCTGTGATTGGCCAGTCACATAGAGCGCCCGCCCCTCCCTACACACAAAACTCTGTTGCCGGGAGCTCAGTCAGCTCGGCCCAGGCATCCACGCGCACACAGTAACGGATCTCTCTGTACTTGCTTCACTGTCTCTCACATTTCTTCAGGACTCCATAGGTTTTCTTCAGCTCGCCTCTTTTTCAGTTTAATATTTAAAGTTACTTTTTTCGTAAGGTACGTGGTGCATTTGACAAGACAGAGCTGAAAACGGCTCGTGCTGAGTCGGTCACTGCCTCCGCTCCGGTCGGGTTTTTAAAAATTAGTTTAACTCTCTCCCTCTCTCTCTCTCTCACACACACCTTAATCAACATTGTTTTGTTTAACTGTGTGTGGGGAAAATGCCAACAACCTTAGGTAAAAATCAGTTTAATCAAATTAAAATAAATTAAAAAGTTGTGACTGGTTCTAATATTTCATATTTCCTAGTTCTTACTGCATGAGTTCAGATGCATAATTCATGCACTCAAATATTAATGTTCTGGTTTTATTGAAAAACTTGTTCTGTAATAGTTCCTTTACTATTGTGATCAAAAATATTTAATCTCAATTCTGAGGCTGCTCTGTAAATAGTTTTCAAATAAACAATAGTTTATAAATAAACAACTTCTGATCAATCCATATCAATTTCAGATTTAAAATAATGTATTGATGTAAACCACACCCACTAATTTCCTAATAATAAGAGGTGCATTCATCTGTGTATCTCCTTTGATCTGCATTAGTGATATTTTCAGCACCAGAACAATGAAGCAAAGAAACAGATTCCTGAGTTTGTTAGTAATTTTATTTATTAGCTGTATCTGACCCGTTCTATTTTTCTCTGAAATGAGATCAAATCAGTGCTTCTATGGGTCGTCTCCTGTCTGCACTAGAAACATGTACTTTATTATAATGTTCTCTGTAATGCATCTTGATGTTCTTAACAAATAAATTAAATCAAAGATATTGGTCAATAATGCCAAATATGTAAATTTGTGTTTCAGTCATTTTTATACTGACTTAAAAATACTTCATTAAGTCTACTAAGCAGGGGTTTAGAAGGTGTTTAACAGGGCCAGCCCGGGTCAAAATAAAGGGGGCAGAAAGTCAAATAAAGGGGGGCAGAAGGAGATATTTTTCCAGACACCAAGAAAAATTAACCCCCCCCCCGCAAAGTGTGTCACTGAGAGTTTAAAACAAAAATTATTCTTGTGCAAATATTGGTGTATTCACCTTTAATACTAGTCATTAAAATGCAGCAGTTGCTGGATTGGTGCAGTTCAAAGTGGAGTGCATCAAATAAAACGACATCAACATAAAGGTGAGACGTGTCATAACTTCAACACCCCCCCCCCCCCCCCCCCCCAGCTGGAAAGATTCCTAGGGGAAACACTGGTTTATGTAGACAATTAAACTTGATATATGTAGATACTTACACTTGTTTATATTCAGTTCAAGTTACATAGATTTATTTTTTGCTTCTGTTAGTTTAAAAATGAGAAAAGCCCCTTGAGAAAATAATCGCAAATTGCATGGCAATTGCCAGGGTTTTTCCTGCGTTCAAATTAGCGTGGCGGCCGCCTCCAGCTAATTTTGTGCCGCCCCAGCCTGATTTCACTCTGCCCCCAGCTATATGTTGTTATTTTAACTGCAGTTGCAGCGTTGTGCCACTACAGGGGCGCTGTATCAGCAGCGGTGCACTGAAAAGCACTAAAACCGTTGCAGAAAAAGATCAAAACCGGCTTTTCTCGCTAGTTGTTACATACCTGTGGTTGGTGCTACTGACGTCCTGATTTCCCCCAGGCCCTTCCATATCAGAGCAGGGCTGTACAGTGGTGTGTGTGTGTGTGTGTGTCTGTCTATTTTTAAACGTCTCACTGGTGCAACATCTTTGAATTACTATTTTCCCCAGAACTTTATTGAACAAAAGTAAGTTACGTGTAAGAAAAATGCTTTTTACTGGCACACAGTGTGGCCGCCTGGATGCAGTGGAGGAAAATAAAGCAACCAGCAAAGGCACAAAGGCAGAACCGGTCCAAAGTTTGGGATCAAAAGTGCAGCTACATGCAGATTGGCTAATGCTAAAGCTAACAGGTAGCAGTCTCACCATCAAGTGGCGCACAGAAAAACATATGATGATGATGTAAAACTGAGAGAGTCTAAACTGTACAATGGGATGAAAAATCCCCACCATCCTGTTTATCCTGCAGCGCTACGGATCAGAACCGCTGCAGATACGAGTCACATTACTGCTCCAAGTCTGCTCCACACACAGGAGCAGGATGTATGGCAAGCTGTTGTAGTATATAATTCACAAACGCTTCTATCTTTGAACATCATTGAATCTGAATTAGATTTTAGACCACACCAGCTTGTCTTAAATGACAGAACCTTGAAAGGACTCATTCATTTCCCCCTATTCTGTTAGTGTTTGGGTAATTTTTTAAAAGTAACTAGCATTCAGATGCAATATTTCGTGGTTTTTGATGAGTATGGGTTTTAGAATAAACACCTGTGATTAGCTCTCACCACTACCTCCCAGGTTAAACAGTGTCTAAACCAATCTGACTAATTACTGATACCCATCCAGCTAGCGTCAGAGAGTCATGTGGTCTGCATTGTTATGCAGCACCTTTGATTGTTGTTGGCTGGTCACCTTTGTGGTTCCTGTTCAAAGTGCGACATTTCCCACAAAAATCAGCTAATTGTTTATCTTGCTGTCAGCACCAGGCTGCAGGAACAGAGCGGGGCTAAAGAGAAACCCGTTTCATGCCTTTGGCCAGAAACCTTCACACGGAGCAGTGGGCGAATGTTTACGCTCTTCTCTTAAAGACCATTTCAAACTGGAATATTTCTTTTCTCATCACATGCAGAAACATCCTTTTCTTTTTTGGACAAAAATCCCAATCTACTCTGAAAAATAGAAACGTGACACAAATAAGCTGGCTGTGTTATCAGCCTCAGGCGTCATCAGCTACACGACAAACCAGAGTCGTGTCAAAGGTGCAGAGAAGCAGTTTAAACGTGTGTGTGTGTGTGTGCGTGTGCGTGTGCGCGTGCGTGCGTGCGTGTGTGTGCGTGCGTGCGTGCGTGTGTGTGTGTGTGTGTGTGTGTGTGTGTGTGTGTGTGTGTGTGTGTGTGTGTGTGTGTGTGTGTGTGTGTGTGTGTGTGTGTGTGTGTGTGTGTGTGTGTGTGTGTGTGTGTGTGTGTGTGTGTGTGTGTGTGTGTGTGTGTGTGTGTGTGTGTGTGTGTGTGTGTGATGGTAAAAAACAAAAATGTCTTTATCAAATGGTCATTAAACGCATCACACATCAGCTCTCTTGGCCTCCTGAACGGATTAAATGATGGCACACACTTTGACTGAGTAAAACTTGTAACTGTGTCCTGGTTGGCTCTTATCAGTGACATCACTCACTGCCAAAGTAGTTGCGACATGCTGACGTCTTTGCAAAGTCCTGAAAGGGCTGAGTAAGTGTGGAGAAACTGCAGCTGAGGACTAAGCCGTCATAACCTCCTGGTCGATTATTTTTTCCCCTTCCAGAAATTTTCCAGAACTCCTGAAACTCTGCTAATGTAGCCACAGCTGCCCTGAGGCGTACTGCTGGAGGCGAGGCTGTCGTACACACACCGCCGGTCACTCCGACCACCACCAGCAGCAGGCTAGGCGGGTGGTGTTTAGCCCCAGGACTCAACCACTTCCACCGGCTCAACTCCTCTACCCCAATAATATAAATATTAGGATTATTATTTTAGTCCAGTAGCAGTTGATATTAAAATCAAGAGTAAACACCCACCTCTTCAGACGAGCTTTTACATACTGTTATTGTAAAATGCTCTCTTAGTGTTTTAGAAGTGTTTGTGATGTTGATCTTGTTTGATTTTGTCCACATTGCTGTAAAGTATCCTCGGGTGCCATGAGAGGCGCTTTTAAACCAAAAGTATTCATATTGTTATCATTCCTGCAAAGCTGGCCCACTAGCATGATCGTAGACCCAGCAGAACCTCGGTGGCTCTGCTGGGTCTTAGAGCAGAACCTCAGTCTCTCTGGTCCTTCGGCTGGTTTTCCAACATTGTTTTTAGTGTCGTCACACTTCTGCACAGTGCAGCATTTCCAAACTAAAGTCTATCTAAATATTTATAAAAATATGCAACAAAAACAAACCTTGTTGTTATGGTTACAAACTGCTTTTACCCTGTTTGCAGAGTACCGATAAGCTGTTCTCTTTGTAATCTAATAAAATCAATGCAGGAGCACTTCTCTAATCTCTAAAGACACAGATCCAGCTGAACCAGTTGCTGGAAAGTTTTCTTCTTTAATCGTTTCAGAATAATGAATTAAACTGAAGCTGTTAGCAATTACACCAGGGTGCTCCCCTAACCTTCACATCTCTGAGGAAACACAAACAAAACTGTCCTTTTGACACGTTTCTGACACAACAACACGCACGATGTGCTAAACTATATCCACAGCAGTTGCATGAGCTGTTGCTTTTGTGGAATTGAAGCTGACTGAAACAACAGTGAGGTGTGTTTCGGTGTTCTCTTGCAGGATTTGTGCACACGTCTGATGTCCTGAGCGTGGAGTCTGCGGAGGAGCGGTATGCTAGACATGTGAAGCCGTCATTCCAGCTGGGATCAGGCCCTCAACAAGATACACCAGTCCACATCTGGAGGTAAATCTGACCAGCTCCTGTACAACAGCACATTAGTGTTTAAAGGTGCAGCGTGTGAGAACATAGAGAGAAGTTTACAGAGAAAATCTCAAGAGTCTGTTTCAGTCGGTGACTGATACACATGGGAGCCTTGCTTTGAATACACAAGTCCATCAGGAAGTGGGCAGAAGAGCCACCTGGGTGTTTAATGACCTTCTCCCGTTTCCTTTCAGGTCCATCATGCACCTGAAGTCCCATCCAAAGCTCATGCGGTCAGAGCTGCGTTTGGATGCTACCAGCGTCCAGAGGTCGTCCCAGCGGAGCAGTCGGCTCGTGAGGCAGCAGGGGGAGCTGCTGAGGGCAGTGAGTAGTAGCCACGGTATCGGCGGCACCTCCCGGCTTCCACTCTGCATCATTTCAACCAACTTTCTCCGCTGCAACAACAAGAACAACATAACTTCACTCGGTGTGAAGGTGCAGCGTCAGCCTGTCCTGCAGCGCCCCGCCTCACCCCTCGGCTGTGAGAACAACACTTCTGGGTCGTGTCAGACCACAACAGATGATGCTGATGCTCCACTGAACATGTCGACCGTTATTAAACCGGGACATGTCCGTGAGAAGATGGCTATCTTTGCCTCTGAAGGGAGGCGAGCAGAGAGGTCCAAGAGCAGCAAACACACACCACCGAGCAGCTTCAGCAGCTGTGACAAAGCTGCCGTGGCGTGCACGAACAGCTCACCCTCAACGGGACTGTCGCGTGCTGGGAAAGCAAAAGGAAGCTGGGAGGAAAACGGCTCTGCCAAACGCCGACGCAGGTCTGGAAACGGTCAGAACTTCCCACAGCAGCAGAAAAGCCGCCTCATAGAGGAGCAACAGCCTGCTCTGAAACCAGACTCTGACCAGCAGGTGGCTGAAGATCGATGTGCAGTCATGGATGTGACGGCGGAGGAAGAAAGGAAAGTTTCAGTTGCAGAAATGGTGGCCATCGTGGAGCAGCGAACAAGCCAGCAGCGAGCCTTAAAACCTCTCCTCACCCTCCAGAGGAGCTCCACCACCATCACCTTGTCCAAAACGACACGGCCAGAGGTCGTGGACGAGGTGTTTGAAGCAGTCAGGGTGTCAGAGATGGTGGCCAAGCTGGAGTCGGAGTGTCTGAGGAGGATGGACGGAGGTCTGTCGAGGAACAACAGCCTGAGGAGGACAGTGGGACGAGTCCTCCTGGCTGCTGGAGAGCAGAACTTCAGCCCCTGCAGGCCTTCATCCCCATCAGTAACATCCTCAAGGGTGTCGTTATCCTCATCAACATCTGAAGATCTGAGTCAGAGACAGGAACCAGTCAGCTCTCCTCAGTCTGACAGGGTGGAGCCCCCCTCCTCAGCTCCCCCTACAGGTGAGCTGGTGGTGGATCACCAGGAGGTTGTGGAGACGCCTGCGGCCGTGGAGGAGCAGGAGCAGGAGCCGCTTCCCGGCCTCCTGTTTTTGTCTGTGCCTTCTGATAGGCTGGGCTCGGAGCTCAGAACCCCCCACTACAGAAGCAGCTTTTACCTGGAGCTGCTCCCTTCGCCGGCTGCTCACTGTGACTCTGTCAGCCGCTCACTGAAGAGAAAGAGCAAAGAGCTAGTGAGTGAGACTTCCTGCTCTGCCTCAGTGCCTCTTGGCAGAAGCGCTTCTGCGTCCTGGGACTTCCTGAAGCTCCGTCGGCAGGTGCAGCAGCTGCTGGCGCCGCAGCCTTACCTGGCTGAGCTGCCTCACCTGGCTGAGCTGCCTCATCACCTTCTGGTGAAGATCTTCCTGCTGCTGCCCACTCAGAGCCTCGCTGCACTCAAGTGCACCTGCAGCTCTTTTAAGTTCATCATCGAGACCTACAGCGTGCGACCTGCAGACTCGCTCTGGGTGTCAGACCCTCGTTACCGTGACGACCCCTGCAAACGGTGCAAAAAGCGGTACCGCCCCGGAGATGTGTCGTTGTGCCGCTGGCACCACAAGCCTTACTCCCAGGCCCTGCCGTACGGTCCCGGTAACTGGATGTGTTGCCGGGGTTCCCAGAGGGAAGCTCTAGGCTGCAATGTGGGTCTCCATGACAACCGCTGGTTGCCAACATTACACAGCATCAACATGCCGATCTACAAAAGAAACTCGAGCCACGATGACAGAGTGTGAGTGTGCGAGTGTGTGTGTGTGAGAGAGAGAGAGAGTGTGTGTGTGTGTGCGCGCGTGAGTGTGTGACATCGGGGCAGAGCTGCAGCTCGAGGTTCTGACATTGTTAATGGTGGCAGCTGCAGCCCAGCGGTGAACATCCGTCGCTCCCATGATGCATCAGCAGCTCAGTCTTTCCTAAAACATCTCAAGCTGTGATTTGGAGAACCAAAGTTTATGTAATCGGGCAACAAAGGATAAGCTGCTGAATCAAATCAGACTTTTAAGAACGTAACATGAAAACTTAATAATGAGAGAAAATAAACTCGAGTATTGAAAAGTTATTCCCTCACGAGGAAACTGAATGGAAAGCTGGAGTTGTTTGATGCTCAGTGGCGCACCCTGCTGGTGAGTCCATCACTTCACAGCCTCCGAGGTTTAGGTAGACAACAGACTGAGCAGCAGTTGTCTTAGAGAGGAGGATTCCCAGCCAGGACTCTTCTCTGTGTTTCAATCAGAACATGACTGAAATGATCTCTGATCAGCTCATCAGTGACCGTTGTCTAACACAGAAAAGCACTGGGGTTAAGTTTTCTAAGGCCTCTAGTGTTTTAGTTTGAAGCTTGGAACGTGGCCATCCAGAAGAGCAGATTTCTGTCCGGTTACCTGAGCTCTCAGATGAAACTGCACTGATGCACGCCTGGCTGCAGCTCCTGCTGCGTTTGCACATCCACCGCTCCGTTAGTCACGGTGAAACTGGACTTTCAGACGAAAACAGGCCAGGTTTCCAGTCTGACTGAAGCTGAGACACCCGCCCCAGAGCTCTAACCTAACACCAGCTCTGAGCACGCTTCTGGGTGGTCCGCTGACTTGATTCGACTGAGGCGGATCGAAGCTCTTTAATGTGTGAACATTTGTTACAACACTACTTATATGATCGCCCCAGATCCCACCGCCTCCTTGGTAAACCGAAGAGGCTGTTGGGTGATGGAGCATCAGGGTGTGGGTTTGGACGCGGCTCCGTTAGCTAGCTGCTAATCGTTTCCTTCATGTGGGACAGAGAAAAGCGGCTTGGTGTCTTTGAGACGATGCAATACGAGAAAGTGGACTAAAGTTTTAATAGTTTTAATAAAGAGTATCAGGTCTGAAGAGATGGTTGTGTTTCTGGAGCTTTTCGGTTCGTGTCTGCTGACTCTCTGGAGTTCCTGTTAAGATGTTTGCTTTAATAAAGTACTTTTCTCATCTGCTTCCTGTTTGGGCTGGAATTAAATCACTTCCACACTTGTCTTTTTGCAGGATTTGGCCCTTAACCATCATGTTAACCCCCGGTTTCTTCACTGAGCTGAAGTTGGTTTCAGTTTCTGGTTTAGGAAAGGGCAATTCCACCCAAATGCTCTCTTTGAGCATCATTAATCTGTTCCAGTAATAAAACACCTAGACTCTTCAGACCCGGACACGATGGACCTCTAGCAGATTCTTATAACAGATTTATTTTTTTTTACTTCTGATGTGTGAAAGTTTATTAAACGTGATTTTAGCACTTTGTTGTAACTTGACCATATTGGAACTGGTCTAGCTTAAACTACCGTCTAAACGTAAGGCTGGCTATCGGAGAGGCCAGGAGCTTCTGATAACGGCTCATGTGGCATCACACATTTATGCTCATGAGCAAGAGTCGTTTATTAAACAGCAAGAAAGGACAGAAGGTTTCATTCTGCTAAAGATCTGGATGGATTTTAATCCACATCTGGTATTCCAGTGTCACTGGTTCTCAAAGCTCGGGTCAGAACAGGACCCGTGTGCATCAGACTAGAACAAACAAGAACACCTTTGTTCTAAAATGCATTAAGGTCACTCTGAAGCACTTTCTGTTCTCCGCTGGTTTCTTACACCGTTCCTAAACTCGTGGCGGCCTGGGGCCTCACACAGGGACTCCAGCAGCTGGAAGTAGTTGTACTTGATGTCGTACTCCATGTCGTACCAAAAGTTCACTGCAACGAGAAGCAGGAGAGAAACCGTGAGCTTCTGCAGCAACAAAGCATGAACGGCAGATGGACGACTGTTGACTGGTCAGTTTATGGAAAACGATGCATACTGCTGTCCGTGTCGGTGCACCACGGAGATGATGCTGCTCATCAGGGGCTGTTACCCAGGCAACACTTTGTAAAGAAAGGTTTGGTCTGTACTTGTGGGATGGCCTCTAAGCCGCACTTTGTGTGTGTGTGAGTGTGTGTTAAAGGAGATGTGAACTCAAGGGTCCGTACCTGCGGTGCATCCATGTGACTGCTGAACGTGGTGGAACCACAGCGACGGCAGGTACAGCATCTCTCCTGCCTTCACGCTGCACCGTAGAGGCTGAGCCCAGCGGTACTGTGGGTACTGCTCCAAGTCTGGTTCCAGTGGGTCCAGAGGGATCCAAGGGACCTGAGGGTGGGGTGGGGGGTCAAGCCAAACTACAGAACTTCAAGCAGACTGTCAGAACAAACAAACGTGCACCTGAACGCACCTTCTGCGAGTCCTCTGTACCGACGACCTTAAACTCGCCGCTGTCCTGCTCGAGGTAAACGGCCGGGCGATACACACCTGACAGATGGTTAACATGGTTACTGCAAGAGATGGGCACTATGGTTACATTAGGTGGATCGTTACTGAGGATAAGTGAAGGTCGCGCCAACTACGAGGATAGTGGATGAGAGATTCCAGAGCAGCGAAAGGACGTCATGCCACATGTCCCGTCCTGATGTGAGGATCAGTTGCTATGGTTACCGTAGGGGATGAAGGGTCGATCAGTGGGTGGGAGCAGGATGAAGTGCTTCTCTCCAGAAATGACACAGTAGAGATTCTCGTAGGGGTCTTTGTGCACTGGAAGCAAGCAACAACCAGAAGTCTGAATCAGTGAGTCGTGATGGACGATCGTTGCTTCAGTTCTTTTAAATCTTAACAGTCGGAACCTCTGGGCACTCGCCCCGGTCTGGTGGGAAGCAGGCTGAGACTACCACAGCTAGCTGGTCATGACTAACATTTGGATCACGTCCCACCAGTCAGAGCCCTGCTGATGCAAAACCATGAAAGTTGTGAGTGAAGTTTGGGTCCTACTAGACGTTATGGCCTTTTCTTCTCCGAGCCAAAAATTCACCGCATCAGGCATCTTTCCTAATAGAACGAAACAGAGATGACCAGTTAGTCCAACAGTAATGAGAAACATTAGGGGTGTCCGATAGCGTCGGTCGACCATCGTTATCGGCTGAGATTGGTATGGTGAACTCACCCAGCGCCGCGCTCATCCAGGCAACGTGAGGTTCCAGGTCATCGATGAGCTCAGGCAGCTCCTGCAGCAGGTTGGAACACTGCTTCTGGACGTAGAAGACTCCATTTCTCTGTACCTGAAACATTCGGTCCACCAGCGAGTCAGAACCGCAGCGATCCAAACCGCAGACAGGTCTCCCCGAGCATCTCACCTTTCCTTCAATGATGTCGAGCACGGAGGAGAAACTCATCTTTCGCTCCTCTGGCATGACAAAGTAATTGCCTGCAACGGCGTCAGCATAGCCATTAGGCGTCACTGCCACGCTGACGACCTTTGACCCGATCTTCTCCCTGCAGACAACCAACTGATCAGGTTTCGCGTGTGCAGGATGAGGAGGACAAGGAGGCAGTAGATTTGATGATTAAACTCCAGAAAAATAAATATTGATGGGGTGCTTTCCATTCCTGCCTTGTATTTCTGTATTTGCAGCACTTTTGTGGGGTTCTGCCACAAAGCGCCTCACAACACAGTAAGTCATTCACACGTTGGTGGGGATGAGCTACGATGTAGCCACAGCTGCCCCGGGGCGCACTGACAGAGGCGTCCCTCCGATCACCACCAGCAGGCAAGGCGGGTTAAGTGTCTTGCCCAAAGACACAACAGCAGCATTCAGTGGGCGGAGCCGGCATTGAACCTGCAACCTTCCGAGTCCTGAACAAGCCTCTCCAGTAAAAGATCCTAATTGAATTAAACAGAGGATCTCATCATCCTGCTACTTCCCGGTAAGCAAGCTTGCTGATGCTTAACAGAAAGCCCGTAGCTATCAGGGTCACCTAACCTGAGGTAGTCCGGGGTCCACCTGGCCAGCGCTGGCCAATGGCTGAAGGCGTTGCGGATGATACATGGCTTGTTTGGGCCAATCCAGTCCCGGTAGAAGTCTAGCGGTTCTGGTGGTCCGTCCAAATAGGGCACCGATGTGTTCAGGTACAGCTCTGAAAGGTAATCAGAAACTGATGAGTCTGAGTCATCAGCTAACGCGTGACTGTGGGTGGTTTGTTGCAGTCGTGTTTCATAACACCGAACCGATCCAGGGTCTGTTCTCACCGTGAGCCTCTTGTGAAAACTCGGTCAGCCGCTCCTGAACAGCATCCATAATAAGACCCCTTTAATCTGACCCCAGATCTGTCAAAATACCACAGGCTTACATCTATCTGTCACGCGACCCACCACCATCATGTTGCAGTCACACGCTTCTTCTGTAGGTTCGGTCTGCGGAAGACCTCCTAGATTTATTTGCTGCCACCTACTGGAGGTGTCTAGCAAATGCACCATGAAGGGAGGCTTCCGTCACCGTTTGTTGTTTATCTCAGACTAGTCAGCATGATTCACTTTGAATACATTTATATTTAGAAATATTTAATTTAGAAAGACTTTCTAACACACACACACACACACACACACACACACACGCACGCACGCACGCACGCACGCACGCACGCACGCACGCACACACACACACACACACACACACACACACACACACACACACACCTATAGACAGGGCCAGATTAACACTTTGTTGTACCCTGGGCAACAATATTCAAGGGCCCCATCATCACGACCCAAGGATCACCATAATGTGGTCACATACAGAATATTTTACTGTAATATGCAGTAAATATACTCAATACTTGAATGCCTGACAACACGTAACCCGCCCAGAGTAACCTTTGACCCACCTCGTGTGGACTGACCAATGAGGAGAGGGTCTTAACTTGAGGCCCTCTCTTCATTGGTCAGTCTCCATGAGACGGACTCTCAACTGACGTTCATTCATAGGCAGCGAAGCGTCTCTGTGCAGCGCAAAAGCCCGGGTGGACAGTTTGTTTAATATAGGGTGATCATATTTCCATTTCCAAAAAAGAGGGCAGGGTATCTGTGCCTATGACGTCACACTATGGCAACGCCACACAAACCACGCTGGGACCCATTTTTTTGTAAGAACTAAATTAATATCAGATTCTGCCAATAAAAGGTCTCTAAAACAATTCATATGTAAATATTTAGCATATGTATTGGAAAATCTCATTTTTCTGCTTTAGTGCTGCAACAAGGTTTTATTAATAATAAATTATTATACCTTTTGTTTTACTACAGCATCGGTAAGCTTCCTGTGCACAGATTATTAAGGATGCTTGTTTCAGCTGTGAGATTAGACGATAGGATCAATGAAAAAATAAGTTGTCACACACTCCATGGAAACTTTCAGAGAATCCACAAATAGTGGCTTTCAAATGGTTTTGTTACTTTTTGCAAGTTTAGAAAAGAAGCAGATGAGACAGCATGTCTTATAATTTAGTTTTTCATCTGATAATATTAGAACATGTCAGTAATGTCCGAGTCTTTTTTACAAACACTGTATAACTAATACTACTGGAGAGGGTATGAACTACACAGAGGCTTCTGGGGAGCCCAGCTATGGGGTGGGTGGGTGGGGGGGTGGATGGGGTCATTTTGCCTTGGCCCTGTCTTGAAACGACCCTGGGTGTGTGACTGAGTTTTGAAGGTGATCTGAATTGTATCAGATGTATAAATATGACATGTGTATAACTTATTGTTTTATACAGGTAGAAACACGTAGTGGAGATAAATCTTACCTACATTTTACTTTTCAACTCTTTGTTTAGTTTTCTTGTTTTTATTTAACTATTTTCCTGTCCTGTCTGTCTCTCATCTTCCTGCATCTCCTCTAAACTCTCCAGAAAAAACTGCTGCCTGGATTCTTACTTTTTCACCTCATCAGTTACTTTTCAACAGATCAAAGGGATCTCCTGACCGCAAAGCGAGTGCGCCTTTCGTTGCTGCGTCAGTGATCACCGCAGCACCGCGCAGCACAGGTGATGAGCTGCGCAGTAGCAGAGCGCTTCAGGCACAAATAAGACAGAAAGTAGAGAACATGTGCGGACATGAACGATCGTGTGCTAATTATAGTTTTTTGGTTGCGCCACTTTGAGAATGGACCGTGCGCTGGAAGCAGCTGCCTGGAGCGCTGCGCAACAACGCGCTGTGCCGCTCTCTGTGCTCTCTGCTCAAAAGAGTCCATAAATGATGCAATATAGGTAGAAGACTTGTTTCCGGCTCCCCTGGATGTGTAGGATATACAGCTCCCCCATAATTCGATCCCTGCTCCTGGATGAAAAGCCGGACATTTTCATCAATACGACCGCGGACCCCCAGTCTGGACGCCCGGACAGAGAGTGAAAAGTGGACATGTCCGGGGAAAACCGGACATACGGTCACCCTAGTTTAATATAAGGCGGGAGATTACAGACATGCCTACAGTATTTTGCTCGTGCTCTTGCTGCCCTGGGCCCCTTAGAGTTCGTGGGCCCTGGGCAATTGCCCATTTGCCCATATGGTTAATCCGGCCTTGCCTATAGACAGTAGAATTGAGGCAGTTCTGAAGGCGAAAGGGGGTCAAACACCGTATTAGTTTGGTGTTCCTGATAATCCTTTAGCTGAGTGTATATATTGACCTGCTGACCTATCACCGACTTGTTAGATTTCCAAAACGTGTCCCCCCCAATATTAAACTCCTTCCTACGCCCTTGCTGCACACGTTAACTGTAATATACACAAAGCACTTAAGGGCTCCAATATAATTATGCTGCATAACAATTCAAGAGCACAAGACAAGGGACAAATAAATCAGTCCAATCCACTGTCTCACCAGATCATAATGATAGTGTGGTCCCCAGCCGAGACGCTACCATCACTGGCATTGGACAGACCGGCCAACTTCTCACAGCCCTCATCGCTAGAATTGTGTCACTCATTCTTGAAAAGGAGATTCGCTCGAGACCCTCTGTGCGTTGCAAGGAGCAGTACAACTGTTCCAAATCCAAAATGCGGTCTCACATTCCTGCACACCTGTTAAATCACAGACCCCACTTCCTGGCTCCTCCTCGCACCCACAACGAGGCATGACCTCAAACTCACAGTATTTCTTAATCACAGCCCACAGCAGCACAATCACGTTATACAGACAAAGCAAGCTGAGAAAAACACCAACAGAAATCAGGGGCCATTTAAAGTAGCCCTCGGCCACACGTCAAGTCCATTTCACAACGTCTGAAGCTGCCTCAGAGACAACATGACCAACCTCTTGAAAGCCACCTCTCGTTACCTCATTAGAGACTACTAAATCAGAAAGTAGCTCCTTAGCCCACTGTGGAGCTTGTAAGGGTCCAAGATGGAGTGGGCCGGCTCCCAGGAGCGTTCCTCGGGGCCGTAGTCCGCCCAATCTACGAGGTACTGCCAGCCCCGACTCCGGCGGCGAGCGTCAAGAATGCGCCGGACGGTGTAGATGGGCTCACCGTCGAGGAAGCGGGCCGGCGGAGGCGCTGGAGCCTGAGGCGGCAGGAGGGAGGATTCCACGTAAGGCTTGAGCCGGGAGGTGTGGAAGGTGGGATGGACACGAAGGCTTGTAGGCAGCCGCAGCCGGTACGTGACCGGGTTAATGACCTTCTGCACAGGGTAGGGCCCGAGGAACCGGGGAGCGAGCTTCCTGGAACCGGCACAGACCCGGAGGCCTGCCGTGGACACCCAGACCTTGTCCCCTGGAGCATAGGAGGGACCCGGGCGGTGCCTGCGGAGGTGTTGGTGTGAGTAACGGGCGTTGGCCCGGGTAATGGAGGCCCACGCCTTGATCCATGCGTTCTTGCAGTGCCTCACCAGGGATTGAGCGGCCGGCACCGCGACTTCGGGTTCTTGGTGGGCAAAGACTGGGGGCTGGTAGCCGTAGCAGACCTCGCAAGGGGACATCTGAGTGGCCGAGGAGGTGTGGAGATTATGAGACAGTTCCGCCCAGAGGAGGTACTTAGGCCACTGCGAAGGCTGGGCCGAGACAAAGCAGCGGAGGTACTGGCCCAACTGTTGGTTCGCCCGCTCCGATTGACCGTTGGTCTGTGGGTGATAGCCCGAAGACAGACTGACAGAAGCTCCCACTAGATGGCAGAAGGCCTTCCAGAAACGGGCCGTGAACTGGGGGCCACGATCTGAGACCACGTCGACCGGGAACCCGTGGAGACGCACCACGTTCTCCAGAAACAGTTCAGCAGTGCGTCGGGCCGAGGGCAGGCCCGGGAGGTCGATGAAGTGGACAGCCTTGGAAAACCGGTCAGTGACCGTCAGGATGGTGTCGAGGTCGCTGACCGGCGGGAGACCTGTGACGAAGTCCAGCCCCACATGGAACCAGGGGCAGCTGGGCACCGGAAGAGGTCTGAGGGTGCCAACCGGAGCCTGGGTGGATGCCTTAGAGCGGGCGCAGACGTCACAGGGTTCGAAGAAGAGGGCCCAGCGAGCCTAGCGAGGATTTAGCTGCTTGGCGGACCGTATGTGGGTTAGGTTCTGGTGGTCAGTCCAGATGGTGAACGGCTGAGTGGTGCCCAGAAGCCACTGCCTCCATTCCTCCAACGCCCATTTTATGGCCAGCAGCTCGCAATCCCCTACGCCGTACTTCTGCTGGGTGGTGGAAAACTTCCTGGAGAAGTAGGCGCAGGGATGTAGCCTGTCATCTGGGCCGCCTTGGGACAGGATGGCGCCGGTGCCGACATCCGAGGCGTCAACCTCGACCACAAAAGGGACTGCCTGATCCGGATGGCGCAGGATAGGAGCCGATGTGAAACGAGCGACTAGGTAGTGGAAGGCCCGAACGGCCTCTGGGGTGAGCCGGAACGGTTGACCAGGTGGGCTCGGTCGGGTGAGAGGTGCTACAATGGTGCTAAAGTATTTAATAAATCGATGGAAAAAGTTGCAGAAACCAAGAAAACTCTGCAGTTGCTTCAGGCTGGTTGGTAGGGGCCAGTCCTTCACCGCCTGGACTTTCTGAGGGTCCATAGTCATACCTTGATCCGAAATCAGGTAGCCCAGGAATGAAACGGACCGCTGGTGGAAGGAGCACTTCTCGGGCTTACAGAACAGGTTGTTGTCCAGAAGCCGGGTCAGGACAGCGCGAACATGGTGGTGGTGTTCGGCCTCTGACTTGGAGTAGATCAGGATGTCATCCAGGTAGGCAAACACCCACCGTCCCAACATGTCACGGAGGACATCATTGATGAAGCGTTGGAAAACGGCGGGGCTATTGCACAGTCCGAAGGGCATGACCTGGTACTCTCAGTGACCGGTGGGGGTGATGAACGCCGTCTTCCACTCATCTCCAGCTTTGATACGGACCAGGTTGTAGGCGCTCCGGAGGTCCAGCTTGGTGAAAATCCACGCCTGGGAGAT